TCTCTACACGAAACACATTTGTTAACTTTGAGTTTAGGTTTAGAGAATGATGCCAGAATCGACAGCATTGTCATCGTAATTGTGTAATCAAAGTGGCGCAGAAACTAAAGTGGCCAAAAGTGTTTTTTTTACCAAAAAGGTTACGTTTTGTCTGTGGGTATTAACCAACTGGATAAAACAAAGGAAGATAAAATTTTCACTCCTGCCAGCAATAGAGACGAGAATACGAGATGAAATATTAACTTGTAACCTGAAATATTCCAAACGGAATGAATCTAATAAAAGTTTATAGTTCGCATCCGTTTTGAATATAGAACGTCTAGCTGTCTGAATGTAAAATTGGAAGACTCCTAAGAAGCTTAATTTGAATTGTTAAGTTTTTAAAGTAAAACTTCTTTTTGGACGGGGTGTAAATGGAAAAATCCTATGGAAGGAGGCCGTAACGCTACGGGCGTTACAGTACCTACCTACTTTTGTATACAAATAGTACTAGCGATAAATACTTCATCGAGTCGACAAACCAATTTTGCGGTTGGAGTATAGCCTTGAGGGCAAAAAAATTCTATGTTATTAAGGAAAAAAATATCCTTTTGAGTAACCCTTTCGATGGTTATCATAAAATACGTCGTGTTTTTTTTTTCAAATTTGACGAATTTGTTTCCCAGTTGTAGCAGGCGATTTTTAACAAATCTGAGAATGCAGTTCTAGTTTTTATTAAAAATAAAATGATGTCTTCTTTCAGTAAAATATACTATCTTCAATATTTATTATACTTTCCCTCCGTGTGACAAACCCGTGGGACGTCCTGTATATCTACATCCTTCCTTTTCTTGCAGTTTTCAGATTAAGGGCTTAATAATTTAGTTCATAAAACCTTTTTCGCTAAACTACATATTTATAGAGTTATATCGATGAAAACATTTACCGAATTCTCGGGATTTTCTTTTCGTTGAATGATAACCCTCCATTTTTTTTATTCCTACTTATTCGATTCATTGGCCCCAACGATTTATGTCATACATATAAATAACGTATAAGGTGATACCTTTGCCCTTTAAAGTGAATTTTAATACAAAAATATTTAGCGCAGTAAATTAGAAAGATTTGCCACAAAACCTACCAATCTTATTTCCATCAACTTCGATATTAGTTCACCGCCCCCATCTCCATGGGGCACCGCGCCGTTACAAAGTCATTTAGTTCGCATTAGGAGGATCTAGTGACATTGGTATTGATTCTGGCATCATTCTCTAAACTTAAAAGTAAACTGGTCTATCCTTTTCATTCTGTATGGAGAATGACAACGATACACTGTTGTCAAATTCAAGTTTAGGTTTGGAGAATAGGCATGATGACAGGGTAAAGTAAACGAAATTCTATTTAGTCCGTCAGTAAGATGATCAAAAAATAATGGACGCGTATTTTTTCTTTGGGCAATCAACTAAAAAATGACAAAGACATAGCGCGTCAAAGTTTGGGAGTATGGTCGCGTGACGTCACTTTTAAGTGAAAATTGTACCAAAACGTGACGCCATGCGATGAAAAAAGAAAAAATAGGTGTCCAATACTTTTTGATAATCTACCTGATAAACGAAGAATAAAAAATAGTCATCATCCCAATTATGCATAAATCGACACCAATGTAACTATTTGGAATGGAAATTATTTGTTAGGTATCGTTTCTGCCGATACTATATATTATTAAATATTGCAAGACTCATACCAATTAGCTTAGCCCCAAAGTGAGCACTGTAGGCTTGTATTATGGGATATTAGGGTAACGGATAGAACACATAAACTGATACATAAACAAGTATATTTATAAAGAAATATATATTATACATCTGGAGTACAAATACTCGTATTCAACACAAAAACATCTGCCCCCACCGGGATTCGAACCCGGGAGCTATGGAGTAGGCGAGACCTTGAAACCCAGCATACAAACCACTCTTGTTCGTGTTAAATAAGTTCTTAAATATAGCATTATTGTCTGTACTCAGATACCTTAGTCGATATGTTTACTCTACATCGAGTAAAATTTAACGTGTGGACCGCAACACTCACAACCCGTAGCCGCGTTCGTAGGATGCAAGACGTTGATTCTTATAATAATGTTATTTTGACGTGACAACGTCTTAAATTAGGTTGCGGCTGGGAGTCACTTATGAAAAAGTGTAACGCTCGGTAACGTTACGATGAGTCTCTCGTGTTAAGTTTAAGTTTACATGTACAATGTTTTAGTAAACAAAATATATTTCTATAGTTAAAATTTGTGCAATTCTTATTTTCATTCAATTCCTTGTTCCTATTGTGCAATTTAATTATATTCATATCAATAAATATTCTACCGAGAAAAAGACGTTGTCACGTAAAATCTTCGCCCGTAAAACCGACTTTACAGGCAACCATTTTTTTGTAATGCACGTAACTGCTTAATGTTTAAATCTAACGAAACCAGGCAGACGGGTCTCAAACCCACACCCCTTGCTATCCGGGCGAATGCACTGACTATTATGCTACTGCAGCCCTGACGGCCGTGTCGAATTTTTTTACATTGATTTTTACTCGCTTTGTAGTAAATTAGCACGAACCAATATCGAATTCGAAAAGTTTGCAAGTCCGAAATGTCATTGTCAAATGTGTACTGATTTTTAGTTCTCGTTACGTACTTTGTGGCGCTGCTGTTCAGGTTTCCATACAAAATTTGACATTGACATTTCGCACTCGCAAACTATTCGTGCTAGGGGTACAGTACCCAACCAATATGGAATTCGAATCTGTACCCCTAGCACGTACCAATATCGAATTCGAAAAGTTTGCGAGTCCGAAATGTCATTGTCAAATGTGTACTGATTTTAAGTTCTCGTTACGTACTTTGTGGCGCTGCTGTTCAGGTTTCCATACAAAATTTGACAATGACAATTCGTACTCACAAACGTTACGAATTCGATATTGGTTCTTACTAAGAGTACGGTTCATTGGATTAATAGGTACTTGTAATGTTAAATTATTTAAAGTGGTACCAACTTAATAAGTAAGCGTAAGACCTACGTGAAAGGAAGTTTAAAGCACGCAGTAGGTACGTGATAAACTCTGTTCCAAGTAATTGTTACATAACGGTATTATCGATATAAGATATGAGTAAGAGATGAACCGCTCTAGCTATCTCGACTTTTTAAATCGCACTTTCTACCCGTTCAAAAAGCTTTTAACCTTGATAATTGGTGTTCGTCAAAAAATAATAAATAAATATACAGAATGATGCTATAATGTTATTTCTTCGTTCCAGTTCCACTTTGAAAATACCATGTGCCTTATTTTAAAATTTATTTTCTGATATTTCAATCTAACTTTTGATCATTAGGAATATTGGGATATAACAAAAGTTTAGTAGACAATTTTATAATAACGATAGAACTTATTATTTCATTTCGTTACGATACATAAAGGTTCGCACAAATGATAAGGACTGGCCTGTCGAATAGAAAGTATCTTTTCAGTTTTTAGTTTCGGTTTTGTTCAGAAGCAACGGCAATGGCAATGGATTGCCACCCCATCACTTACAGTAGTTTCTTCTTCTGATTTTGTATTCTTATCTATCTTACTTACTTTAAGTTACAGCGTTTTTGATAAGGTTCCGTATCCAAAGTTTGTCAACGAATAGCCTTTACTCAGTACTGTAAAAATCTCAATGCGAAAATATTATCTAGAATGCCATAAATCGCATCTCAGAAAAAAATTGTGAAACGTGAAATGTTTACAATAAACAAGGGGAAACAAGGGAATCTTAAGGGTTTTGGGTAATGATTTTTGAAAGGGGTTCTTAAAGTTGGTAGTTACGAAAATCGATGTCGAAAACGCCCCCATTACCTCCTTGCGACGGCCAGTCGTCGGTGGAGGGGGTACGATAAATAACTCACCAACAAAAAGACAGTTGGTGTATTTAGAATATAAATAAAGAACTGTAATAAAACAAGGAGGTATATTAACTTAAAAAATATGTAGGAATTCCAGTAGACAGGTATACTTAAACACTGATTTACAAAATACAACACATAATGCTAAAGCTTACCCCTTTGATGGGCTTAACCCTTTGAAAAGGATTACCCCTTCTGGTTTATTCAAATTATATTGTATTTAAAGATTTTAAATTGTACCCAATTTAAATAGATAATAATTTCTCTTACGATATTTCTACTGGACTGACAATGATTATATTTTGCTTCTTTGACGGAATTGAATTTAAAATAAAACCTATGGACAAACACTTTGAAATTAGTGTTGCTCAAAAATAGAATAAGGAGGAAATAAACAAAGAGAACGGTTGCGGCTATGTTACACCTTTACACCCTTATCCTCTTTAGGGTACAATAGTAGAGCTAAACTAACTTTTATGAATTATATTCATAAGAGTTCGCCATAACCAAAACCACTAAAGCAAGTTATGATGAATTCCTATGCCTGTGATAACTTTGTGATCATCTGGCATAAATTTGCGATTTCCAAAATATCTGGGTTGAAATTTTTTTCGTATATTTATTTCAATGTAAATCAAAGTTATTTTTGTTATTAAAAATTCATAAAAAAAATCCTTAGTAGAAATCTGGTTGGCCACATCAACCGCTAAGCTTACCTACTACTTTAAAATATAATGTATTATCATTATCATCATCATCATCATCATCATCACCAGTCTATTGATGTTCCCACTACTGGGGCAAAAAAAAAGGCTTTCCCTATGGATGGAATAGGGAGACTGGGCCGTGACCCACCACGCGGGCTGAGTTCGGATTGGTAAGTGCTAACGACTTCAGCAACAGCCGGGCCCAATGGCTTAACGTGCTTTCCGAAGCACTGAGGTGCTCGAGATAAATATTTCTTGGTCACCAATCCAATGAGAAAGTTTCACGATCGCAGGCTGAATGCGCAAGCACCTGCGCCAGCGAGTAATAGTTTATTATAAATCGGTGACTCAAATATTGAACTTTTGTTTCCAGAAACAAGCGATGCTAGTCAGACAGCTGGAGGAGGAGCTTCGACTGCGCATGAGACAGCCGGCGCCTGAACTTCAGCAGCAATTGGAAGCTCTGTTTGCCGAGAACGAACATCTGCAGAGGGAGATAGCTATATTAAGGGACACCATCAAGGTACGAAAAGCGTAATAGGCCAGTCATTAAAGCTTAAGGCTTTAATGACTGGCCTATTACCCGGAAATAATTAGAAACTTGCTGAAAATTTGAGGGTTTTCGAAAGAAGGTAAAAAAACTTACCGGGTGATTTTGCAGCGGTCTGGGGTATACGGAAAGGGTTGAAAAGGGGTGAAAAGTGTTTTTTGTTAATAAAATTGCTAAAAAAATTATTAACACGCTGCAAATTTAGAATAAGATTGTTTTTACCGTTTTCTAACGTGTATTAAATTTGCAGCGTTTTGCAATAAACGGAACATTGTTTATTATTAAAAAAACAATGAAATTTGTTAATAACAAGGGTAAAAAAATTAGTAACACCGTGCAAATTTGGAATTAAGTTGTTCCTATCAATTTGTAACATCTATTAAATTTGCAGCGTTTTGCAACATACGGAACATTGTTTTGTTCCGTATGTTGCAAAACGTATTTAATATACGTTAGAAAACGGTAAAAACAACCTTATTCTAAATTTGCAGCGTGTTACTAATTTTTTTGGCAATTTTATTAACAAAAAACACTTTTCACCCCTTTTCAACCCTTTCCGTATACCCCAGAATGCTGCAAAATCACCCGGTAAGTTTTTTTACCTTCTTTCGAAAACCCTCAAAATTTCAGCAAGTTACTAATTATTTCCGGGTTTAAGGCTTTAATGACTGGCCTATAATAACAGTACGGTTTTCTGATTCGGTTTCCTGTTGAGGAATCGCGGTTTGGAAACCTGAATACACTCTTACATACAGTGTTTAAGGGCGCACACTATTTTGTTTTACAAAACCTAACGTTCGTTTCGCACTCAAAGTAATAAAACCGAAACGTCTGCGCTAAATTCGCGAAATTCCGAATCAGGAATTTTAATATTAATTACATTTGGATGATATAATACAATATTTCTTCACACAGGAACTAGAATTAAGGATCGAGACACAAAAGCAAACACTACAAGCGAGAGATGAAAGCATTAAAAAATTACTGGAAATGCTCCAAAATAAGGGAATGGGTACGTCAATATATATTTCTTATTTTAAAATTTCGAAAATGGCAAATTTTTAATTGCCATTAAAACTTTACAAGTAATATCGTAATCGGCCATAGAATCCACCTATTGCTGAGAAGTTATTCGGAATTTGCATGCATCCAGACCCGTCTTTCCCATTGGGCACTTTGGGCAAGTGCCCAGGGCCCCGCGATCGATAGTGGGGCCCCCTCAGATCAAATACAAAGTCCCTAGTTTCTGTTAAATCACCCAACGGAAGTCATAGGGGCCACATTATCCTAATATGCCCAGGGCCTCCAATAGGTCAAAGACGGCACTGCATGCATTTAATGAATTGTGACTTCTTAGCATTAACAGTATGGCAAACAATTATCGTCGGATGGTATTCATAACAAACGCATACGGCACCAGAAAGTATCATTCGCGTGTTGCCAGCCTGACTTTATCCCCTACCCCTTAGAGCCTAACCCCCTTATTAATAAACGGAGAATAATCTTGGATAACTTACGCATTTTTTTCTCTGTTCATTAAATTGCAAATGGCGTTTGAGTTCAGAACTTTTGAGTGATATTAATAGAACACGGCGTAACTAGTCTGTGGGGTTGCATTTTGTAAAAATATCAGAAAAGTCCAACGAGTCATTCAGTTTCCATTGTTACCTAACTGTCTACTGTTGTGAGATGTCTAGATTTAAAATAATTATTTATTTAATACAAGCTGAAATAAATGAACCTATCAGTGTAGAATTTACAAAATCTAATATTTTCAGGTAAAGAGGAGGAAAGACAGATGTTCCAACAGATGCAGGCGATGGCACAGAAGCAGGTAATTTTCGTGACTTGAATCTATTAGAGTATCGCATGCTAGATAAGTTTGAGTCATTCCAAAAGTTTCCAGCCAAAATAATAACGTTGTAGTTACAGTAGCATTTCAAGATACCATGAAATGTCTGATTTCTCCAATAGATTCTGAACTTTGAACCCGAGCACTAAGATTGAGACTCGATTGGAGAATTTTGACAATTCTACAGACTGAAAAGATGATAATCTGGAGACTTTACAATGACACTTTCCTGCATTCGTTGTAGTTTGTACTTTGTGCATGTCACCGCTTCCTTATATTTGTGCAAGATAGTGTGACCACATGGGCGTTTTATTTTGTGATACCTTTATCATCGTCACTGTTTCTGTTAGAGTTGCTCTTTGATAGTTTCATTTCATTCATTGACTTAAGCGGAATGTGACTGTCGCGATGCCTTATATGTGTTACGAGACCACTTTGTCTCCACAATCTTTTATCAATTCTTGCTTCTCACTTCCACGGTCTTTCGAAGCCTATGACACTGAAGCTTATCCCCGCCCCGAGCACCTGACTTCCTTTTTTCTACTACCATTCCTTATCACAATATGTCGAAATAAATCTAAAATCCAAAATCAGAAATTCCAGTCAAACCAATTCGGCCAAACTCACACGACAATGAAATTTGTAAATCGACACGAACACGACTGAGAGATCACGACATTGCATGTTTAGAAAGCTCATTATGTCCCCGTCACCAAAAAGCCTTAGAACGTCTCGTAAATTTTGTTATTGGGCATTCAGTTGAGCAATCATTAAATTAAATTAGATGCAAAATTTTCTTTTACACACTGCCTTCATCTGGGGCTGCATCGTCTCATAATTCCGTTAAATGTCGATCGTCCGCGCGCAACTTTCGCGACATAGGAGTCCCAACAATTTACAACGTACCTCAGGGCACGATATAGACGTAACAGTGATGCATGGTGACCGACCATCCCGAATCCCACATCAGTGCGTGGCGATTAAAAATTTGCTTCCGAGCAACAAGAGTAAAACGTAGGGCCTATTCCGGAACGTTGTCAAAATTGTACGTAGGTAGGAACCTGAAGTGAGAAGAGCCCGGTCGGGCTTCACTGCGCAGGTTGCTACGCTCAGAGATGCGCAGTCACCGTGTAGCATGGCGTACGTGGCCCTCGGGCGGTGTAAATTGCCGGGACGGCGCAGCCCCGGGCCGGCGTCGAGACGCGTCGCCTGTTGTAGGTAGGTTGTATGTAGGCCGCCGTCGGGCGCGGGCGGCGGCGGCGGCTGACCGTGTCGCGTGACTGGCAGGAGCTCAAGGCGACGGCGGACACGCTGCGGGCGCTGCAGACGCAGCTGGAGCGGGCGCTCGCGGCGGCCGGCCTGCCCGGCGGCAGCGCGGGCGCCACCCTCACGGCCGTGCTCGAGACCAAGGAGGCGCGCATCGCCACGCTCGAGCGGCAGGTCGCGCTGCTCGAAGGCGAGCTGGCCGCGCTCGTGTCGCCGCCGCCGCCCTCGCTCGCTCCCTCGCACGCCTCGCTATACGATAAGGCCGACCCTCCCTTCAAGAGACAAGTAAGTTTTCTGCTGAACGACGTGCGCGTGATGAAGGACGGCCGCACGAGCGCGCCGCCCCCGCGGCACCCCGCGCCGCGCCGCCCGTCGCCCTATTACAGTGCCACCACCCTGTGACTCCGTCGCTCCCGGACGAGTTACCGTGTCAATTTCTCGCTTTAAGTCCGATATATTAGCCGAAGTCGTCGCCGACTGTGTTGACTCGTAATATTTTTGTGTGAACTTGTTCGTTGTTAAAGCTATTTTTTATTAAATATAAGAGGAATTATATTCTTGAAAGATGTCGATTGAGATATTTTTGTTAAGTAGGGCCCTAGGCGATGCGAGTATATTCTAGATGTAATTGTACGGTTAGATGAAACATGTGAGATTGACTAAGCTGACACCAAATTGATGATTATCGATAGACTGTTTCAAATTTAAGACTGTCGAGATCGTATGCATCGAATCGATTATTCTATGATTAATAAATACTAATTGAATTCATTTTAATCTGTTATGGTTTGATCATGTTGTGCTTTCGGTGTGATCGCAATCATATTCCAGTACATGTACCAATCAGCTTTGGTCCCGCGTCACCCGTCATCAATAGCTCACCACGACCCGATCTCTTCATGTAGCCATCATCAATTCTATCACAGTATCGGTAGACAAATGTATCACAACATAGGCGCCCGTGCATCTCAACATGTTTACTGTCGAACTTTTGATACTTAGCTAATTCTAAGTCTGGAAAACTTTCTACGGGTCATCGACGCCTCAATCTTTTCCATATTATTTAGTATATAGCATAGAAAGTTTTCCAGCGACGACTGTGCATTTTAATATTCGATACTTGTTCACGATACGGTACGAATTTAAAATTTAATACGATGATGGAGATGAAAATGTTTGAAAGTTTTACTGCATGCGATTTAAATAATTAACTCTCGGGGGAGTAATGAAATGTCTTCCATTGCACTATTTTAAGTGGTTCAATAGGTGCTGGAAACATTTCTTTCGTAATTGAAAAAAAAACCGTGTAACAGCTTGCGTCGCTTGTCATACATCGATAACATCACTAACTAATGTATCTATGGTGACCATAAAACCAGTATTATAATTAAGTAGATTTAAAATTTTAATAACATCAATATCATATCCGCCATCACTTTTGCCTTAGTAGATAGTGATTTTTTCTTTTTGGTATTTTTATCTGGTTGGTTGAAAGATTTACGATTACGACTAATGGGATGTTTGGATTTGTCTAATTTTATACCGACTGTCGGATGGATGGTGGAATGATGAACAGTTGGACGAGTTCCGATTGGAGATCCAGAGGCGGGATCAGGAGATCCTGGCGATGGCTGCGAAGATGAAGGCTTTAGAGGAGCAGCATCAAGATTACCAACGGCATATAGCGGTGTTGAAGGAGTCCTTGTGCGCGAAAGAGGAACACTACAGCATGCTGCAGACTGATGTGAGCCCTCACTAACGTTTTCGATTGCACTAGTAAATAACATCGTCTAATTAACTAACATTTCAATTGTACTTTAAAGTTTAGAAAGTACTCTTTCTCTCGTCAGTGAGGCATGTCACGTAATCCGATATATTCTATCTATTTTGATGCCCGAATTCAGACAAATCACAGACAAATTGTTATTAAAATTTATATCTCTAACGGAATGACAAAATTGAAGTAGGCAATGATAGGATTTTGTACGATGCTTAATTGGACAATCTCAAATTTTTTAACATTTTTTCTCAACGCCTAATCGTACTAACTCTATTCTCTTTGTAGGTGGAAGAACTAAAAGCACGCCTGGACGAAAAGAGCAGAATGGTAGAAAAGAAGACTGCTGCGGCGCTGGCAGCTGCGCACGAGTTAGCAGAACTGAGGGATCATTCCGAAATCAAAGATCGAAAGATCAACGTGTTGCAAAGAAAGGTAAAGAACGTAAAAATATGTAGACATCATCATAGAATTGGTATTGGCTAAAGTAAAATTTTGTGTGTTATGATTGTTTGAAATTTAGTTTTTCATGATTTCCGCTAGTCACGCATTTAAAATATGTAATGTATTTTTAAAGATAATAACGAAACTTCCAAATTTCTGCTATAAGAGTTTTGTAAGCTATTGTAAGATATATTCACTTATAGTAAAAAGTTAATAACAAATATGGCATTTTGTACTAATGTTTCAGTAAGTTTATATTTACAGAACCTTGTTCTAAAAATATAACCCTAGCTAGTAGTTATGTGACTTTCATTGATCAAAGTCAGGGACTGGTGAATATTTCAATGTTTTCGTATTAGAACTTAGTCAATCAATAAAATTATAGAGCAATATCATTCCATACATTTAGAGTTTTTGTCCGATGGATGGATAGAAATGTCCGCTATGTCATAAGACCTCAGTACTTAAGGGTTACAACTATATGTTTAGTTGTATCTGTAGCGTATTTAATGATTAATAATATTAACTAGTTACTGATCCTATTGATGTTCATAAAAACCTTAAACATAATATAAAGCACACACATGAATTTATAAATATGTTTTTTTTTCTTCTATAAGTATACATTTTAAAAATAGCAACCAATTTTAACGTGAGGCAAAAACAAAAAAGCGTTGTGGAAAGCAGGCGAGTCTGATCACAAAATCAAAATGTGTGAACAATAAGATTTTAAAGCAAATAGAATGAAGTGTAGAAAGATATAAAATTTAACACACTAAAGCTTGCATTCGTTAAAAGTATTTTATAAAGAACTTCTAATACTTTTAACGCGAAGGTTTCCATTTAATTTACCATCCCCCCATGCATTCGAATAATCGTGCGATCACGTCACGATATTCAGTTAATAACATCAAACGAATACGTTTTCTAATGTTCATTTAGCTGGCAAGGATGTGACCTCATTTGTTTGATCGATATACAATCCAGTTACGGCTTAAAAGTTTTAAGGGTGATTTTATTGAATTCTTTTGACAATTTAGCTTTGACCTTCTTAAAGATAATACAATGGAATTTAATTTATTTTAGGTACATCTGGGACCACAATTACGTATTCGGTTCATAAAGTACTAAATTTATAATGATAGACTTTGTAAATTAAATTATAAGGACTTTATAGTTTTGTGATTGATTAATTCTTTAGTCTGTTTAAATAAAAATCTCCGAAATGTATCTACCAAATTGGAATTATTTGGGACAAGAGGGTTTATTTGGACAGTTTTTTTTTTGGAAATACTTAAAACCACCAGAAAATTTTGTAAATTGAAATCTCGACTCTTCTCAATTTTTCATTGGTTTATTGCACCAGTACAACATATCTAGGCGGGTTTGCTAGTGTATTATAAATAAGGACATCCATTAACATAATATCCTTAGCTTAAATAATATAAAGCGTAAATAAACAAGGTTTTATATGAGTCTTCAGAGAATTAATAACAAACAACAGAAGTAATTTTTTACTAAAATAAACTTATTATAGTAACAAAGAGGGCCTCAAACTCTCGTTAACCCATCTCGTATTGGGTATAAAAAAGTTATCCATGTAATTACATAAATCTCTCAATAAAGTTCGGATACGTATGTTATGCACAAAGTCTTCAATTCAAAACTTATTCTGCTCGTGTTCTGCTCATACATTGTACGTGTTTCTTTTACTCACAAGGAAGTAATGTGCTAGAACATATACTGTTTTAATTTTATTTATGTTCGTGTTATTTCTTATTTTTTTATTTTCGTGCACCATTTATTTGTTGCCTCTCAGGTATGTTTATTTTTCTGTATTGTTTATTTTATTTATTTAATATTGAGTTTTACTTTTATTGCAAAGTCTTTAACCATGAAAATGTTTTACATCACTCATGTATTTGCAGATCGAAAATCTAGAAGACCTTCTAAAAGAAAAGGATAATCAAGTTGATATGGCCAGAGCTAGACTAAATGCAATGCAAGCGCACCACTGTTCCTCAGAAGGCGCATTATCATCGCTCGAAGAAGTTATAGGTGATAAAGAAAAACAAATTCAACAGCTACGCGAACAGAGAGACCGCGCGGAACATGAGAAGAATGAAGAGAGGGAACTTCACGAAAGAGAGATAGCCGATTATAAAATGAAACTCCATGCTCTTGAAAGCGAAGTCGAAAAACTTGGGGCTAGACTTGAAAGAGCGCAAGCTGAGAAGGACAGGCTTGAAGCCAAGCTTGAAAGTTCACAGAGCGAATTAGGTAAATCTAAAGCTGAATTAGACAAAGCTGCAAGTGAAGTCGGTAGATCGGGCGCTGATTGGGAAGCGGCGAAGCAGCGGCTAGCAAGACTTGAGCTGGAAAATGAAAGGCTCAAACATGAACTAGAAAGATCACAGACCACCTTTGGTAGAAGTACTCTGACAACGTCGCAGGAACTGGATAGAGTGCAAGAGAAGGCCGATAAGTCCGCAGCAGAATTACGCCGGACTCAGGCTGAACTGAGAGTGACTCAAGCGGACGCTGAGAGAGCTCATGCTGAAGCAGGTGCTTTACAGGAGAAATTGGAGAAGTCGCAAGGGGAAGTTTATCGTCTGAAGGCGAAACTTGAAAATGCACAAACTGAGCAAGATAGCCTGAAAGAAGAGTATGATCGGTGAGTAAAACTGGATGATTTGACAAAAAATTGTAAATTTAGGAAAAAAATTAAAATAGCTGAACAACCGATAGGTAAATCAATAGTAATTCCTTAAACGACTAATTTGGATGGATAAATTATTAATTAATAAAAACAACATTGAGTTTTCTGGAAATCATAATTAATTCCAGTACTTACCTACCACACTGTCTATTACGTAATATTATTTCTTTCATAAAGCCTTTCAACTCTATTTGAATTAAATGTGAGTTGAGCTCAGCTGTCAAGGTGATTGTTGCGACGAAGTTAATGTACTGCATCATCTTTTTCCCCCTTTTCTTTTGCCAGCCTGAACCCTATTCCCCTATTTCATGAAGCTATATATAATATTTACAATCTTTATTCTGCTGTTCACTGCATTCACCACAGATTACTGTTATTTAGTGAAAGTCTTCTGTTAGATGAAGATTAACTCCCTAGACGTGCGTAGATTAGTTATAGTTTCACTTATTTCTTCTTATTTGGTTACTTATTTCTCTCCCAACAGAATTCAATCTTCTATCAGTCGTTTGCACTCCGAGAGGGACAAGGCAACAGCCGAGCTGGATAAAGCCAGGGAAGAGTTGGAGAGGACTCAAGCAACCCTCGGCAAGGCACAACTGCAACAAGACAAGCTTCAGGCGGCCCTCGACAACGCTCACTCGGAGATCGACAAACTGCAAGAGAAGTTGGATAAGGCAGCAGTGGAGAACAGGAAGGTAGGATAAGTGAATAAAATGGATTACCAATATAATAATAATTATATATAGTTAGAGAAACTTCCACGCGGCCCAGGCAGCAGACGGGACTCGAACCCGCGCCCTTCGCTATCCGGCGAATGCACTGACCGTTATGTACCGCAGCCCTGATGGCTGTGTCGAATTCTTTCTAGCCTTTCTTTAGCTGCAAGGCAACCCAAAGGGTGCAGTTTTGAGTCCCGTCTGCTGCCTGATCCGCGTGGATTTTTTCTAGTAATATTTTCTTCAAAATTTTCTTTAGATTTATAATCTATAATCTGTATTGGAGATGAGTGTCGTTATTTGCATTGATCGGCGTGCGGATCATATCCATAAAAGACTAGATACCTTTTTAAATGTTAGTAATTTTAGTTAACTCTTAAAATAATCACCCTATCAAGTAAATTTCTCGTATCGGTAATTTGTTGACAACCGTTTACCAAAAATTTTTAAAGCAAAACGTTTACAAACCATTTCAGTTAATCCAATTACGTTTACAGCTGCAAGTTGATCGCGAGAAACAGTCATACGACTTCGAATCTCTCCAGTCGCAGCTGGATAAAGCGTTGGGACAGGCAGCACGCCTCCAGAAGGAGAGGGACACAGCACAGCTGGACACCGAGCGCTTCCGGGACAAGCACGACAAGGCACAGGTATTTGTTCTGTTCCGATCCATGTAAAGTAAAGCTTCCACTTTGAAATTCACCGTCTTATTTAGATTTGAGAATGTCTTCAACACATTTTGAAGAACAATGTGCTTTTCATCGAGTCTCCATGCTGGGTGAAATGAATGGGGAGGAGTCCCGGATAACTCCGCTACGCTTCTCCCGGTGGGCGGAGAGTGCGTAAAGCATTTTCCAGACATTAAAAAAAAACAAAAAAGGCCGCATTTATTAGACGGTCGGTCTTTCGTGTTAATTTTACCAGGACTAGAAACTTTGACGTTGCCCCTTCTTTGCAGCTAGAAAAATATAAGGTTAATGTGGCGGTACCAAGTCGAAATTGGTAACAAATATGTACTGTTCTAATCAGATAAAGCAGCTATTAACTTCAAATCTACCTTAATCATTCAATCAAAAGGTACCTATGTCTTGCCTATCATTACTATGAAATATTTTGACACACGGAAGGGTACTGAAATCATACTTACCATCTATCCCGACCCGATGGTTAGGTTCCTGAAATGTGGTTTAGGAAGGCAACGCCTTATACAAGCACAAGTAAAAATAAAAATACGTAGAAACAAGAAAAAAGCTATTTCCCGTAATTTTAATTAATATGGATGCAATTGTATGCAATCCACGGTGCGTGAGGTCGGTTTTTCTTAAAAAACTAGAAATTTTATATGCTTTAATCCTCATATAGCAATTATCAGTATGTTTTATTAGAGAATTTTGATTTTACGCCTACACACAACTCCATCGTAACCATTTATTTGCCATAGCTATATAAAGTTTGTAAGTTAAATTAAACAAGTCTAACTTTGGGTATACAAATATACAAATGTTTAACTTGCGTATTTCATTTGCATAGACTAGATTTTTCGTCTAAAGGAACATCTGCACAGGGAAAATCTATTCTATATTTTAATTTTGATGACCTCCCTGACCGAGTGGTTTGTACACCAGGTTTCAAGGTGTGGCCTACTTGAGAGGTCCCGGGTTCGAATCCCGGTGGGGGCAGATGTTTGTGTGATGAATACGAGCATTTGTACCCCAGTCACGGATGTTCAATATCTATTTCTATATATTAACAAAATAAATTTACACGATTTATTTTGTTAATATAATACGGATGTATTGTTACGAATCGTAAAATTATGTGTACATTCACATGTGGGATTCCTGTGCGCCGACTGATTGCAGGTGCTAGTAGACGGATCGCGTGCCACATCTTCTAAAACAATGACACGATCAGAATCCCCTCTTAACGTTCTTGATCTGTTTGTATTTACCGGGTTACGGCCTTCCTCCTACGTTCAATGTACTCGCAAAATTGCTCGATGATCAGGAATAAATCTCGGGCTGTGATAATCGCGAAACATTCTTGCGGCAAGTGAAGCGTTTCAACGCGCGTACCCGTAGAAATAATGTGTTTGCGTATAATCTTGCAATGAAATTTCGTAATCTCGAGGCATAATAGCACTCACAAACAACCTTAATATCTAAGGCTAATTGGTGTAAGTGTTGAAAATATTTATTTATTTATTCTATAATATTATGCTTGTCCAAGGCACGTTTTCGTATGTGCAAAATTTATTCCATCTTCAAATCAAAACGAAAGCTTTCAATTAAAAGAAGTGTAGTTACTTACTAAACCCATGGGATAAAATTCATACTATTCATACGAATTTAAAGGTTTGCTTATCTTACCCTTTTATTTATTTAATCAACGAATTAAAAGTTATCTATTAATTATGAAAACCCTGATGAAGCCCTTGGGAAATAAAAGGTAAACTATAATTAATTTGAAGCGAGGTCATATTTTAATGTACCGCAATAGAAAGTAGGCATGTTCACTGATGTTTCGATGTAATATGGTTAATTTAAGTCAACGCTTAAGTGAAATGGAATGTTACAGGGTAATTAATTAGACGTTTGTTATGTTTTCTATTTTGTTGTTAATAGGGTATTTGAGTAAATAACGTGAGATCGTTTTTTAAAACTTGAAAACGATCTCACGTTATTTGCTAATGTTTATAGAGTGGATATTCATCATTATGTTATGTATTTTGGTAAAAAAAACTAAATCAAAAACATTATTTTGAAGTTGCCGCGTCACACGACTGTCATTAAAACGTCAAACCATATAATCTAATGTCACTTTAACCGAAAGTTTACTTGCGTGTGACGTAATTTTAGGCTCCGCCAATCCCAAGCGTTTTGGGTCACGTGACAATAGACAAGAAAAGTATTATCTTTCCCGTGGATTTTAGTAACATTATAAAAAAAAATCTATAAAAATTATAAAAAAATCCTGCCAATTCTGAATACAGATGCTAACAATTGGCACTTTATTTTGAATTCTGTCAAATACCTTAATTGTTCTTAGGCATATACCCATACGCATACTAATAAACGAAGACTACGCTTGGATTAGTTACTCCATGTTTTTGTCTCTGTTTATTAAATGACAAATGGCATTTGAGTGACATGAACAAAACACGGCGTAACTAGTCTAAGCTAAGTCCGTGTTTATTTATAAGGGAGATAGTGTTAAACGTATGGGATGATTACTTTAAATTTTCAAGTCTGACTTATTGTTTTTTTTTCACTAGAGGACGGACCCCTTCAGAAACCCAAACATTTTTTTCACGCTACATATCAACATACAATGCTAGGATTAACTTTTTCATATGACCATTTAGTAAACTTTTGCAATAGGTAAGACGACTGCACTAATATCAATTTTGTACCACTCAGAACCTTTAAGAGCCAATAAAACAGTTACAATAATGATTGAAGTCCCTTTTTTTGCAAAATTGCCTAGCAATAATTATGTTGCTGCCATTCCTTATGGCTTCGTTGTTTAATTTACAATGAGGATCATTACTCGGTCATAAAATTAACTCAAAACATGCGGCCGAAACGTATGACGTCACAGAGCTCGACCGTGGTTCACTCCGGCGAACTTTAGTAGCGTCTCTACTCACGCTCGCGCCCGAGCGCTAGAGCTCTGTAACGTCACAGTCACCACGCCTTCCTTTAGTAATTTGGTCATAACTTTGTCAATATTTATAAAACTTCCATTTTGTGTGATGAGTTTAAAGCCCGTATTACAGAATGACAACTAAGTGTTGAACTTTACCTGAGTACAGTTAGAAAGGGATGCCACTATGTGCTATATATAGTGACATCCCTTTCTAACTATGCTCAAGAGTAGATCAGTCACTGAGAATCTTTCTATAATACGGGCCTAAGAGTTCCGTGATGAAAGAGTGATAACGGAACAATAACTGTCAGCAATCTGTATCTCATAAATTTATGTATATGTAAACAGTTGAAATACTTATAAAAAAATTACCTTCTTAACTTCTATAAATACTGTAAACAACAACCGAAAAAATATAAATAACACTGATTAATTGGTCTACTATTTTTTTTTTTTTTTTTTATAATTTTTTTATTCGATTATTTACAATATGTCTTTTTAATTATGTTATTTTTAATCAAATTTCAACATGTTTAATAATATACTGTCCGTGCTCGAGGCTGCTATTTGATACAGCCAGGGGCACGGGCAGAAGTCTGAAAGAGGAAGCATAGAAGGATAGTAAAGATAAAAGTAAGTATACAAGAAAATAGGGAGGTCAAAGCAAAGTAAAGAAAAGTTGAATCACATTAGTGGCGTTAAAGACTACTCGTTTGCTTCGAGTTGGCCGTCGATGGCCAATCACAGGCACATCAACTGGTACCATCGTCCAAAAAGGTCGACTAATAGGGACTGTCTAAGGCGCGGTATTCTGAAGCTGGGAGAGTGGAAGCAGCCAATTCGAAGCGAACGCGTAGTGCTTTGGTGGTCTACTATTTGCAATACCAACTGAATTACAAAAAAAAAGTCCTTGTTAATACAGGTTCGAAGTTTTAAATAGCCAGAATAACACATTCGTCGAGTTCGAGAATTGAATGAGAATTCGGGACAACTCTCGAATTAATTTTATTCGGCAGCGGAACATTGTCGGTTTGCAAATGTAGAATCGATATAACCTTTTTTCGTATCATCGGCAGCAAATGGAAGGAGCAGATTTATTTATAACAGTTACATAAGCCCGTCTAGACGAAGTGGCGGCGTTACGGACGGCTTACAGTGTTGTACTGATAATAAATAAAATCTCAACTTGAGTTGTATTTTTTATGATTATAAAAAGAATATTGAACAATAGTCATTTTAGCGACATACTCGACTTTGATCGCGTGCAATTTACCAACGAAACCATTAAATTGAATACCATTATGCTTTTCAAATTGTCTTCTTTAAAAAAATCTCTTAGAAAGACTTCGTCCTGAAAAATACGAAATGCATTTTATTATTTTACGACTGATAAATTGATTTTATTATTTAATTTCAAAATACAAAGAAGTAAATTTAATTTTATAATTTAACAATTTGCTTTAATCTGCTTGGTATATTTGTATGTATAATTGTATTTGGAAACGCAATAACTTTCAATAGAAGGAGCTCTATTTATATCAAATCTTCTGCCAAAAGGTCAATTGTAATCAGCTTCTTTGTAATAATCGTCGTGACATGTAAACGGTCAGATTAAGATATTCATCATACTAATATTATAAATGTAAAAGTTTGTATGTTTGTAAATAAATCACGCAGAAACTACTGAACGGATTTGTGTGAAATTTGAAAGGTACGCATATAGTTAATGACCTGGATGATATGTCTCAAACATAGGATACTTTTTAGCCCGAAAAAATGTTAGGGATTTTCAAAAAACAAAAAATTAACGCGGTTGAAGTCGCGCGCGGCCTATTGTTCATTATAATTATTTAATATTCCTCTTTCTTTTATATAGAACAGTTAACTTGTAAGTAAATAATAAGGAACTCATTAAAAAAAACAGAAACCTTTTTAAAAAGTCTTTACAAAAACAGGACTCAAATTAAGGCTAAAAACCTTGATAGTTTGCCAAAGCTGAGCTTAGATCTCACACAATACTGTCTTAAGTTAAAAAAGACATGTTAACACAATTGTTTTATGAAAACATTTCAGTAGTCTCCGTATGCCGTAAACTGATTTCTTAAAGATATTTCTATTTTTTTTGCATATTCTGAGCAAACAAAAAGATTTAAAACTTTTTAAAAACCTATTTTATTCAATTAAAATTATGTTCTATTTCGACAGTGTGCTCATAAAAAATCCAATAGTAGATATCCGACCTTCAATTTATACCTACGTACTATCTTTATTACAGTAAAAATTACGCATGTGTGACATAGAGAATGAGTCATTTTTGTTTTCTTTCTGGTCTGCTAATACCAAGGACGAAACCGTATACCGAATAGACAGACATTTTTATGGAATCTTGCCAAACGGCCGAGTTGATTTATGTAGGTTTTCATGTCTGTCGATAATTTTGACGATATGACATAAAAATTAAACGTTAGGAATAAATCGACAACACCAATCTCCACTGGGCCCGATAAGTGGTCTGTACCTATAGCTTTGGTAATTCTGTCTAGAAAACACAAGAGACGGAAGACAGTTTCAATATCGAGTTAATCTTAACTATGTGATACCGCTCCTTTTTTTTTATATTTATAAAGAAAAAAAAAATGGATGCGTGTAACTTATGTACGCGCGTGAGAAGTTATACTTCTTTAGCATCATTAAAAATATTTTTTAATTGCATGCAAATAATTAATAATTAAAATAAAATAATAAAAGGACTGGAAAAGGATAGTTAACACTGTCAATTAAGTTCAGTTTTAATTTGAAAAATTAAATAAATATTCAGAATATACAATTAAAATCACTACTGAATTTAAGTTATTTGTCCATATGTAATTAGCACTTGTAAGTAACTAAAACACGTTGTGTCTATATAGAAACTAGAAACATGTGGATAAATATTATAAATATGAAAACAGTGATCAGAGGCGACGAGCGTGCCAACATTGTTTTTGACAACGCGATCATCTTATGCAGCTCCGTGGATCGTTCAAAGTACCTTTCGAACAGATGTTTAATAATGGTGGATTATTAACCACTAAGTGGTTAATAATCCTCCATTATTAGACACTAACATTCATAACACGCCCGCGGCCAACTTCATGGTGTTACTATTGTGTTACAGTGATGCGCGCGCATCTCGAAATTTCACTCACATGATTTTTTCATAACGCGCCCGCGGCCAACTTCATGCTGTTACTTTTGGGTTACAGTGATGCGCGCGTATCTAAAAATTTCACTCTCATAATTTTTTCATAACGCGCCTAAAGAAGTATATATTACCACTAAGCGGTTAATAATCCACCATTATTAGACACTAACATTCATAACGCGCCCGCGGCCAACTTCATGGTGTTACTATTGTGTTACAGTGATGCGCGCGCATCTCGAAATTTCACTCATATGATTTTTTCATAACGCGCCCGCGGCCAACTTCATGCTGTTACTTTTGGGTTACAGTGATGCGCGCGCATCTAAAAATTTCACTCTCATCATTTTTTCATAACGCGCCTAAAGAAGTATAACTTCAAAAATCTAAAAATATGAGTGATAAATACGCAATCTTCTATAGCAACGGTGCCATAGCATCGACGGTTAACTCAAATAACCAAATGAGATATTTTTTATTAATCCTACCCTCCAATATGCTATTAGCAAACATCAATAGAGTTCAAAGTTTCTGTTCAATTTTCTATGCAAATAAAATAATTTACAAACTTTTGTTGAGTTCTAATTCTTTGAGGTATCTATGTAAATATCTGTCTGTGATAAGCTTTGAAATAAGGCAACTACATTGGTTTTCTCCCGCCTTATGCACGCCGACTTATAGACCTTTGTTAACATATATGTTATTTCTTTCTAGGCTCTCGTTGCGCGTATTCAGAAGGAAAGGGACACAGCGCTGGCTGACGCCGCTAGCTGCCGCGAAAGAGCCGAGGCGGCTGCAGCGGCAGCTAACAGAGCGGCCAGGGATCGCGACAGTGCAGCCACGGAGTTGGACGTTCTCAGAGAGAGGTGGGAGAAAGCGCACCAACAACACCAGAAACTAACGGTAAGATTTTGGTAGAATCCAAGACAATAGACGAATTCCCGAGTCGCTTTCTTGTAAAAATGCGAGCGAATCTTAAAGTTTTTGTGTCATCGTAAATTTAGTTTTTTTTTTTAATAAGTTTTTTAGGAAAGATTAAAAAATATTTTTTATAAACACTATAGTGCTAAGCACGAATTGATAGAGATTTCGACCACACTGATTTTTGTAATGTGCCATGTCAGGAACAATAATTACATAATAATATTTCAACATTTCAGATGGAAAGAGACGACGCCTTGACAGAGGTCGAGATATTGAAAGAAAAACTAGATAAGGCACTTTATTCAACGCAAAAAACCATAGAGGAGAAAGAGAGCGCGCACAAAGAATACGAGAAAATGCTTGAAAAGTATGATAGGTACATTTATCTCTGGCTGTCGTCTTGTGTTGGTGGCGATGTCGTGTGTGTAGTGGCGAAACCTGTTATACAATTTCGAATACTAAAATCGATTTTCTTTGCAGGTCGCAAAATGAAATCTACCGACTACAAAACAAGATCGATATTTTAGAAGCAGATAAAGATCGTATTGAACTTGAGTTAGAAAAACAAGTGCACCTGTCCACAAAATCAAGGGAAGACCAAAGAAAAATGCAAGATGAATTAGCTAGGTTACAGGAAATGTATGATAGAGCATCTATGCAATTAGGCAGGACTAAAGAACAAGAGGAGAAAGCTAAAGAAGATATGGACCGGTTACATGTAGACATAGAAATGGTACGCGACAGATACGAGAAGAGTCAAGTAGAACTGAGAAGACTGCAAGCAGAAAAAGAAAAGCATATTGCTGACAATGAAAGATTGCAATTTGAATATGATAGAGCGATGACACAATGTGGTAAAGCGCAAGCGTCTAATGAAAAAACACAAGAAGAAATGGCCAGAGTACAGATCGAGCTAGAAAAAATGTATGACAAACATGATAAAGTTTCTGCAGAATTAAGAAGAGTTCAGGCCGAATTAGACAAGGTTAAACAAGATGCAAGTGGTGCTAGAGAGGAGGCAGAAAGATACGCAGCACGTTATGGAAAATATCATGACACAAAAGAAGAGCATGAGAGGACTAAGTTGGAGGTAGAAAGACTTCGCACGCGGTTAGAGAAGACCACATTAGATCTGGAACGAGCGCGGAAGGCCGAGGAGGAAGTGCTCCGTCTGCGTTCGGAGCTCGAACGCATCGAAGGCCTCCGAGGTAAATACCAATTCGAACAGGATAAGTGGACCAATGAATTAAATCGAATGCAGGCTGAGCTCGACAAGCACCGTGAGCGTCACGAAGCATCGCAAGCGGAAATCCAGCGTCTGCAAGTTGAAAAGGAACAAGCAGAGACGAAGTTGCATGAACTCAACATACAACTAGAATTATCAAAGAGTGAAGTGACTAAACTAAGTGCGGCATTAGAAAAGCAGCGTACTGATCTCGAACGTGCTCATATTGAGTGCGAGAAGTTCAGGGATAGGTGTGAGAAACTTAAATTGCGTTCTGACCAACTAGACAAAGATAACGAAAGACTTAAAGGCGAGCTGCAACAAATCGAGAGGATGAAGCTTCAAGCGGTTGCCGGTGACAAAGCGCGGACTGAAGATAGACTCGAAATTGAACGACTTCGTGATAAACTTGAAAAAGCAATTCAAGCTAGAGATTCGACAGAAATGGAAGCAGGTCGATTAGCCAAGGAACTTGAAAAGTCACAGATGCATCTAGCCAAATACCAGGAGACTAATGAAACGACTCGAGTAGAGTATGATAGAATGACTAATGAACTAGGAAGAATGCACGAGCGCCTTGAACGAACTATCCTGGAGATGCGTCAAATTGAACAAGAAAGGGATGCATTAAGAGTAGAGATACAGAATACGAGACAAAATATACAGCAACAACAGAGAACGTTAGATCACCGAACGCAAGAAACGTTAGTGAAACTCCAGCAAGAACTCGCTCAATCAGTGAGAGACAGGGAAAAGATGGCGGCTATATTAGAGCAACGGGATAAACAAGCGGACGCAATAGAAAAGCAAATCGTTAAACTGGAGGCTGACACAAAACAGCTGACAATCGAACGCGATCAGCTCGTAGCTCAGTTAGAAAAGTCACAAGACATGCTCGTGAACTTCCAAAGGGAGTTGAACGCTTCGGAAGCGGAGTTGCAGAAGCAACGCGAAGAAGTGCGTAGATTGAAGGAAGAACAGCGAAAGATGGCTCAGGATTCGGAACGTGGTGCCAAGACCGTCCTAGAGAATCGTGAGCGCGAAATCAATAAACTGCAACAGCAAGTGCAGGCTGTTACGAAAGACAGAGATACGATAAGACAGCGCGCTGAAAAAGCTGAGAGAGAAGCACAGAAAGTGGGCGAATTGGAGAAATGGCGGGCCGCCGTGGAAGCGGAGAAGACGAAAGCCATCGCAGCGGAAAGAGCGCTTTCTGAATGCCAGCAGCGCTTACAGTCTTTGGAGAAACAGTTCCAGGCACAGCAGCAGCAATTGCAGCAGCTGCAAGCGCGTGGACCGTCGGACGTACGAGAGGTGCAAAAGCAGCTTGAAGCGGCGCAAGGGGAGGCGCGATCGCTTGCCGTAGAACGGGAACGGTGCCAATCACAGTTGGAGATGCTTGTACAAGAACTGGAGAAGAGCCAGGTCAGTTGGAGGATAGCCTTACGACGAGCGGCTGTCGGGGCGGCAATGCGTGGTTGAATCGAGTTTGGATGGATATTGGATATTGAAGTTAAAAGAACTGATTCGTCAAGGTGTGATTTCAAATTATATAAATTGGAATGCACATTACATTCCTTAATAATTTGTTCATCAATCAATATATACCGCAGATTTTATTGAACAAGAAATAATGATTTTGATGCTTTCTCGTATTTATATGGATTTTGTGATAATGACATATTTTGAATGGATCAAATAAAATCCATTTTAGAACTCGATTGAACCGCAAATAAAGTCGCGTGCATTGTCGCTTTATCATTGCACCGATGTAAAGAGTAGATGTTTTTGATTTGGATGTTCATTACATTTGATTTTTGTTTGGGATCATCATAGCGCGTCATTTATGTTGTGTATAGCGTTGCCATCCATCCGGATAAAGCCGGACAGTATTAGGCTCTGTGATTTCCTGTCCGGTCCAATTTGACTGCGTCCGGCCCGACGGTCTTTGTTAGGCATTTTTTCTTTCGAGGCAAGCAAGCCGCACACTTCACTGTGCCCAAGTTCGCCAGTCTCGTTCAGACGAATCGAGTAAAGAAAAATATGCAAATTAAAATGATAATACCAGTTAAAACTTTCTTATAAAATATATGTATGTGGTTTTATTTGAAGTTATGGTAAACAATACTTTTCTTTGCCTTCCGTCCGGATATGGGATCAAAAAGTCAGGCTATTTTATTTTTAGAGATGGCAACGCTAGTTGTGTATAGTAGCATGCCACCCACAGCCCGCGGGCATCCTCCAACCCCTCATACGTATTTATTATTTTATTAGTTCCATCAATGTTTATGACGTCATGAGAATGGTTGTTGTAATCGATGATACAAGCAAAATATTTGCACCTTACAATCATGCCGATCACTGAACGCACAGAAAAATTCAATGGTGACTCGCAAGATTTCTGGTGCAAAGTTGCATAGCTTCATGTGTAATACTCGTAATGTTAATTATTTTTCCTTGTCTTTTTCAGCCGCATTCGCTACTGTATTGTGTAATTGCGTCACTCATCGTCATAAGAATTAAATAAAAAAAATGTTTTTGAAAAGTTCCACATTCTCTCATTCAATTATTTCGCTGTGATGAAATGTATATTTTGCAGTGTTATGTGTACAAAGTTTGCTTATTGAATATCCGTTTTGGAGTTTATCAGCTTCCACGAGCTTTCGTACAGTGACTTCCGTCTTTGCTGCATCTGTTTTTTAAAAAGAAGTTTTGTTTATTTTCCTTACGGGTGATTTCTGTATCGCAGCTCGATCTCCACGAGGCGAACAAGAAATTACAGGCAGCTGGCGCTCAGAACGCAAGAGCTGGGGAAGACACAGCCCAAGCTAAGAAGCACCTGCAAGACGAATTTAAAAAGCTCGAAGACGCGAGGAAACAATTTGAAGAGCAGAGAAGAACATTTGATACTAGAAGGAAAGACGTGGAAGAAAATGAGAAGTCGCTTGCGGAGTTAGATCGGCAGTTAAAGAAGAGGAAAGAGCAAATGGACCAAATGGAAGCATCTTTGAGGAAGGTGGGTAAAACACGATTATATTTATTAATATTTACCTATGTCAATAATAATCTGTATGATAAGCAAAATTACGTTACTGACCTCTCAAAGTAAAATTAATTGTACCTCAATCTTCTATTATTATTGTTTCAGGCCGGTGGTAGCACGGCAGCGGTGACTGACTTAAACCGCAAGCTGACTGACACACAGAAGGACGCAGAACAACTGAATAAGCAACTAGAACAATCGAAAGAGGAAGCGAAGAGACTCACCACAGAGACAGAAAGACTGTTACAGCTCGTCCAAATGTCGCAAGAGGAACAGGCGCAGAAGGAAAAGCAGATTATGGAGTTGCAACAGTAAGTTGTAGATTGAGTGTTATTTTAAGCATTAAAGTGCAAATTATAAAGTTAAACAAAATTTTACTAAATACAAGCCATGACAGTCCTAGAATCAGACAAATTAGTAACGAGGCAAGAGCAAATGCTATAAATAATCTGGTAAATGAGATCAAGAAATAAAGCTATGTTTAGTTACTACCTTAGATTTAAACAAAAAGGGAAGATACGGTACGCTCATACTAGCATCAAATTAATTATGATCCGACTCAACTTCATAAGCAACTCTCACAGATGCACACTTCTGTAAATAAACATTTAATCGAGCGAGCGAGACAGAATTGTACGCGTACTGCGTTGAACGCAGCGTGAGCGAAACGGCGCGAGCGAGTCCGCGCCGCTTTGCAGCCTTAGAGCATTGCTCTAAGCTTTGCAGCAGATTGCGTTTTCTTTTCTCTCTCTACAGACGGCTGGCTTGTTTTCCTTTTCTTGATAAAAAATGGTGAATCAGTAACTAACATTCATGGCAAACCGTGATTTGTGAGAAAAAAAATATTTTATAGTTTTGCGAATGAAAAGTGTTGCCGTAGTATATTTTTATATTGAGTGCACATGCATCATGTTTGGATGACCAATGGTGACTAAAGGCAATTGTGGTCATGCATCACAATTTAAGCAGATTACTTATGAGCCGCGATGGCGTATCTTCCCTTTTTGTTTTAATCTAAGGTTACTACAGCATTCATAATAAGTATAAAAAAAAGATATCATTGAATGTTAAGGGTACTAATATTTTTATTAAAAATATATAAGAAACTTGAAACTAAGACCGTGCGCACCGTAAAGCAGGGCACGGAGCAGGCGGCCACCCGCGCCGCGTAAGGACTATGAAACAAACTCGCCGAGCGGACTCCCGCTCCGTGTCCCGCTTAACGGTGCGCACGCCCTTAGGCCCACTTGTACCTTAATTCTTAATTTATATGGAGGCTTAATCGTGTTTAGTACATCATTCCATCTTTGTCAATTATTTTAAGTCAAATGAGATGGCATGAGGCTTAACGTGGTTTAGTTTTACAGAACTTTGGTGCAAGCGGGTGATAATTTTCTATAGAAAGGTTCCAAGCTTTATAGCACTGTCACAAGTCTGTTACAAGTCCTAAAAGAGACACACCCCTTGCTTTAAATGCAATCACATTTTTTTCCAGATCTGTGAGAAACCTTCAAGCCAAACTGAAAAGTCAGCAACAAGCACAAGCACAAAGAGAAGAGGTACATTATTATAATCATTATAACGATCGAAACGTTAGATTCATGCTTTTTTTCAAAATTAATATTATATTGCACATTCTCTAAATTAGAAAATAATGCAAAAAAATAAACAAAATGTAATATTAACTATTTTTTTATTTAAATGACGATTTCAGAATTTGAGATATTGTCTATGCCTTTTCTGAGTATATGAAAATGTGCAATACTTATAATATTTGAGGTTACCTTAATGCATTTCTACCCCTACCCTTATATAACGATCTTAAATTAAAATACTCATTCACAATTCTTAACTAAACTATTTTGATGCTAATTCGATCATTGAAAAATCCTGTTATATATGTATAAATCTTTGCTTTAATTTAACTACTAGTAAATACATATGATCCTTACCCTAAGATATAATATTTTCTACTAATAAGTACTACATTTCATATACAACGTAAGGGAAAACACATACAATGGAATTTCATTAACTTTTTGCAATATTCTAATAGCTTGCAGTTTCGTACAACATTCATTTTCTCGTCTAGCAGTTTGTCACTTTACGTTGTGTTTGAATCAATAGCCGATTAGTATGACAATCCTCATAGTAAAGTTTCTATTGGGTCGAACGTTTAAGGCAGCAATAAAGCAACAATCTAATTTTCATTGTCTGACGCGTTCGGAATTTGGTTTTGTATTTCCTTCCTCTTCATACGGCCACCTCTACGTCATGCAAACCGGCACGTTAATATTTTTCCGTCGTCAAAAACCTTACGTAAACCTAGTAGCTACAATAATTCAAAAGACGGAAGATTTGGATGCAACCGAAAGTCATGGGCGATTGTAGATATATTTTTTATCTGCCGTAGATGTCCGACCCTATATAAACGATTCAGGAATGGTGGGAGTACTTTACAAGGTGCAAGGTTGTCTCCCCTTGTGTTACTCTACCGCTCTTGAGAAAATCCCAAAATATCCGCTTGAGCTCGAAAGGAATACCAAAAGGGAACGGTTCAAATTTGTATGGAGGTTGGTAATCAGTCACCGGTAGACTCCAATTTGCTATGACATGTAGTGCACTTATTATTGTAAATCGTTTGACAAAACAGTGAGATTATTTTATCCCCATTTTTTTTCAAATATTTTATTTTCAATTCATATTCTGTATCTTTAGTCCAGTCAAATTACGGAAAAAAAGGGCTAAAAAAACATGAGCGAGCACAGTTTGGGGATTTTGAGGATCGATAGGGGGGTGCATCCTGAGCTTAAGTTCCAATTTGAGGGGCTGTACTGAGGTCAGCTCAAGGTCATTTCGATGCAAACGCGTTTAATTCGATATCTCGAGAAATATCAGTGTTAGCCAAAAAATTATAGAGACCTTTTTTCTTCTAAATGAAATTTATTAACTTTTTTATTTAAAACTTTTTTTGTAACATCAATATTTTTTAAGTTATTACTCCCGCAAGGCAAAAATTTCATTTTTTTCCCTATTTTTCGTCGTTTTCTCACCAAACATTCAATTTTATTGAATTTTACCGATCATCAACGTGTATATCTTTTAATTATGCACAATTTTGTTCTTAAACTTTTTTCTGTAACTTCAATACCTTCGGAGTTATATATTATTTTACCGAGCGAAATCCACGCCACTGTCGCAACGTGTATCCACAGATACATTGTTGCGTGTATTAGTGCGGGTAAGGAACATCTGTCCTCGATTTTTATACCTGGGGTAACCCTCGTCCTACGAAATCTATTTTTTTTTTTTTTGTGTGAAACAGTTTTAATTGTTAATTTACTTGTTACCCAAACAAACCCATAAATTTACCCAAATTAAATACCCAATTTTTAAATAGTTTAATCGATTTACCCTTTTATATTGCGACAGTGGCGTGGATTTCGCTCTGTAAAATAATACATAACTCCGAAGGTATTGAAGTTACAGAAAAAAGTTTAAGAACAAAATTGTGCATAATTAAAAGATATACACGTTGATGATCGGTAAAATTCAATAAAATTGAATGTTTGGGGAGAAAACGACGAAAAATAGGGGAAAAAATTAAATATTGGCCTTGCGGGAGTAATAACTTAAAAAATATTGATGTTGCAAAAAAAAGTTTTAAATAAAAAAGTTAATAAATTTCATTTAGAAGAAAAAAGGTCTCTATAATTTTTTGGCTAACACTGATATTTCTCGAGATATCGAATTAAACGCGTTTGCATCGAAATGACCTTGAGCTGACCTCAGTACAGCCCCTCAAATTGGAACTTAAGCTCAGGATGCACCCCCCTAACGATCCTCAAAATCCCCAAACTGTGTTCGCTCATGTTTATTTGATTCCGTAATTTGACTGGACTACTTCTATTATATCTGTTCTTATTAAAGATAAGAGATTTATATAGACACCTAGCAGTTAAATGATTACAAAATAAAAATATATCTGTTAATAGTATAACACAAAATAAGCTTTCAAATGATATATATTTCATCGCTGTCGAAAACCTACCACTTTTGAACCGTCTCCTTTACAGGTTGCCCTTTGCATCTGGGTTTTCTTTAAAAACTTGTCTATTAATATAATCGTTCCTTTAACATAATGTTGTGTGCTTGAAGACTTTCAGCTAATACTATAATCATTACTAACATGTACTAATCATTTTGTTTCACGCAGGCCGGACCCGCAGGCTTCCTCAAAAGCTTTTTCTAAGTTAATTCTTCACACCAAGACTGTCGTTCATTTGTTTGCTCTTTTTGATTTCCCTTTGATTTCTCCTTTAACCGTCGACACAGCCACAAATACTCCGTAAGCGACAACTCCTTATTCCATGTCTTTCAAATTATCAATAATAACTTTAAGTGTAAACGCGATTTCGTATTAAGGTAATGTTTTCGGTATTTATTATTATTATAAAATGATTATTACTTACATTACGATGAAGTGTTCAGATAATAATACATTCATCTTTGTTGATATACCGACGACGATGTGTATCAGGTTTGTTCAATTCGATCATTGTAACCAGCACACAAGTAACGTATAATATTAGTTTAGCGATAATTTTTAAGTGATGTTTAAAGAATTAAATAAAGATTAATAATCGTGTTCAGCGGGAATAATTTTTTAAGTATTGGTATATATATATTTAAAAAAATGTAAAACTGTTAAGTAAACATGTATTTTAGATGAAGTAAGCTGTCCACTAATTAGTCAATGTTACCCAGCTTTCGATCTTGTTGCGCGAGATAACGATTTAAATATAAATAATAATAAAAAAAAACAAATTAATATGATATGTTGACCTTCTCTCGTGTTGTTTTTGATTTTATTAATGATACTGTTGAGTTTTCTTGTTATAGTAAAATTTATTTGTTTGATATTACATTCTTTCCTTTTGTTTTGGAAAACTTTACCCCCAATCAGGATCTGAACAGAGCCAGGCAGAGTGAGGTTGAGGCAATAAACGATTTGACACGCACGCTAAAAGAGAAAGATGATTTAAAAGCAAAGTTAGAAGAGAGCAAAATGAAAGTGATAGACTTGGAGATCGAGTTAAACGAGTCTTCGCTCATACTGTCTGAACTATTGAAGATATCCAAAGGGCAGGAGTTGAGTAGCATACAGAGAAGCAAGAGCTTCTTCGAACTGCAGAAAAGCGGTAAGGTAGCTGAGAGGCTCGACAAATGCCGTTTTAGTAGAAGCTACAACGAGTTGGACGTCATGCAATCAGACAAACAGCCCAACGTCCAGAAACTGACTAGAAAAATAAGTGACTTAACCAAAGAAATTGCTGTGAAGAATTCCAAAATAATCGAACAGCAGCGATGCATATCTATTTTAGAAGATGCGCTCAGAGAAAATAATAACATTGCAGAATTCGAACAACTGATAGCAGTAGTTAGGAGTAAAGATGAAAGAATCAATGAATTAGAGCGAATTGTCAATAAGAAATGTGGGATCACTGAAGCCGATTATAAAACAAAACGGATAATGCAGTTAGAAGATGCGCTCAAAGAATCGTTCATGATAGCCGCAGAAAGAGAGAGGGTGTTTTATGAAGAAGAACAAAGGCGCATCGAAACTCTACAAAAGGTAATCATAAATTAGCTTAGGTACTTTCATTGTTCCATGGTGATACAATTTAACTGTTAAACCTTTGACTTTATCCTAATTGAGTAATGACACTAAGAATTATTTAACGAAAACAGTCTGCATGCAGTATTTGGATATAACTAAGAATTATACACATCTGTCAATGTCCCCATTGCATGGGTGCTAATGACTAATAGCGACGTCTTAAATAAGAAGAAATATGAATTGTTCAAAGTAAACGACTTTATTATTTGTTTATTTCCTTTTTAGGGTTCCGTAGTCCTGACAAGGAACCCTTCTAGTTTCGTCATGTCCCTCTGTCCGTCCCCGGTTTTTCTTGGAGACAATAAGCACAAGAGAGCTGTAATTTTGTGGAGATTTTATATCGATCACGCCGACAAAATGATATAAAATTTTTAAAAATATTTTTTTAGGGGAGCATGTAACCTAGGGATGTTTTTTTTATATCATCTATATCATCGTGTGCGATATCGTTAAATAGGTCACGATTCACGATAATAGTGCTTTTCATGAACTTTTAAAGCAAGCCATAACATTTCAGATGTGTTAGTTAGCTTAAGAATAATAGCTGTTCAACTTTGGTTAAAGAAAAATTCTAACCTATAAAAAATTCCTTAGAAGAAAACATGAATAGTGACAAAGATGAAGTTATTGTAGCGTTAAACCTTGCGATGTAACGAAATCTAATAAAAAAACTCTTTAAAAACCACAGTAAAATATCATTAGTTCCACAACGCTACCGCGAGTACCAACAGCAACGGCTTCTGAGTCGCGCTAACGTTACGTTTCCGTGAAAAGTACATAAGCACTTGAAAAGATCAGCAGGGGATTATCGCTTCAGATGAAGCTTTTATTCAGTAAGAGTCCGACATAACCTTGCAGCCGGCTGTAGGGTATCCATAAGGATTTCAAACCCGCTCCCCTGCCTGGGAGGAAACAAAAAAATCGGCGGTTATCATTTGAGTTTGAGACGCAGTTTGACTTTGAATTAGGTATTTTACTTGAGATACATAGATTGATATTAATTGGATTTTCTAATTTGCGATATATAAAATTAAGACTCCTGCTCAAATATATTGTGATAACTACGGAATCCTATACTGCGCGTACACGACACGCACTTGGCCGGTTTTTTAAGTAAGGGATCACCAAGCCTATAGACGCATGTGATAGAAAAATATCACTCGTGCCATTGCCGACACGTTTCCAATCCTCTACCCCATGAAGCACTGGTACCTCACTCACTGACAGAAACACAACACCGCCAAAATAATGTGTTATTTTACTGTAGTCTTCTTTAAAGGTGGAGGTTACTTCACCAGACGGGCGCTCCAATACCAGCTATGCCCTACCTCTCTTTTAATGTCTCTCTCTTACAGTCACATAACATAAATTATTACTCCTTCATTTATTCATAGATGCGAAAGATGGAGCAGCGTATCAAATCCCTCCAAAACGCTTCAGCGCTGAGCTGCGAGACCTGTTCGCCGCTCATGAAGCGCTTGAAGCGCCTGGAGGGCGCCCTGACCAACTGCCAGGCGAAGCGGGACGGGGTGTTGCATACACTGGCTCGAGTAGTGTAAGTCGATCATTGACGTAGATATAATGTAGCAGCGTATCAGAACTACAGCGCTGAGCTGCTAGACCTCCAGCCGCTTCTTGCGCTTCATGAAGCGCATGAAGCGGCTAAAGGGCGCCCTGACCACATGCCTGGCGAAGCGGGATGAAGTGTTGCATACATTGGCTCGAATGATGTAAGTCGTACATAAACATAGACAGACATAATGCAGCAGCTTGACAGAACGCTTCAGTGTTTAGCTGCAAGACCTGTTCGCCGCTCATAAAGCACACGAAGCGGCTAAAGGGCGCCCTGGCCACCTGCCTGGAGTAGCGGGACAAAGTGTTGCATACATAGTAGTATAAGTCGGACATAAACATACACAGACATAATGCAGCAGCTTAACAGAATGCTTCAGCGCTGAGCTCCGACACGTTCGCCGCTCATGAAGCGCCTGGAGGGCGCCCTGACCACCTACCTGCTTTACGTTCTCTCGAGCCGTCTAGGAAAATCAACAATTAAGTCAACCTTATAAGGTTAATTCGACATTTATTTTTAAATATTGCGTATTTATAAAATAGTAATTTAGATTAAATTAAAAGAGCGAGCCTTTAAAGTGCATATTCTCAAAGCGTTTTGATACTTTACAAAAGCTCAATTGTCAAATAAATTTCCAGTCAAAACATCCTTGAGGAGCTTATCACCGAGAAAGACAGCCAAATAGCCGAGCTGGAGATGAGCGGCGTGCTGGGCGAGGCTGAGACGGCGAGATGCGACGCGCTCAAGAGCGAGCGAGACAGACTGCTCAATAGACTTAAGATTGAAGCAAGTATTCTTTATTTCTTAACTATTCAGGCCTAAAGCATAGCGTCAGAACACGAACGAAAGTATAGAAATAGTTTAAATTCATCTCATAAAGTCGACTAATATTTATGTCACAGGAAGGCTGCAAAATCTGTCACGTCAAATATGATTTTTCAGAAAATAACAAGTTTGCCGTACGATAAGAAAAGGAACATTAAAGGCATACGAGCTGACGGCTTGCCTGATGTTAATTGATCACCTGTAACACCAGAAGTATCACAAATGCGAAGCCGGCCTTTAAGGAAGGATTACGCCCTTTTTTGAAGGTTTTCGGGTCGTATTGGTACAAAAAGACTGCCAATGCAATGCCATATATTCCACAGTTTTGTACGTGGTAAAATTAGTGTGGTTGCTTGGATATGGATATGGTATGGTTATGTCGCGATGTTTTGATTAATCCGAACAATTTCTCAGAATACTCCCCGTGATAAATGGGATAGAAGATGCAGAGCGTGTGTGCTTCTTTTCCAGAACGAGCGCATCGTGGAGATCGAGAGGGGCGCGTACCAGGAGCCTACGAGCGAGGAGGATCTCTCCGCAGCCGCGCCCGACCTAGCGCTCGCCGACTCGCTGCTGGCCGTCTGCGACGACAATGTAATTGTCTGGGTACCGTACTACACACGTCTACGAATGCGCGTGCCAGCTTTGTTTACTGAGGCTTCGTGGAGATCGGGAGGCCCGCGCACCACGGGGCCCCCTGGTGACCTTGATGGATTGCTATGGCTATCGCTATCGCTTACGATTACATTTTGTAATTTCCCTAGCCATAGAAATCCCGATAGGCGGTAGGTCTGGGGACTATAGTAGGTCTACGAATGCGCGTGGCAGCTTTGTTCACTGATGTGAAGTTAGCGCAAGTCCTACGCATAGTTGCGCTCGCTGCTAACTTCACAACCGCCATAAAGTTTGAATTGCACTATAATACACTGTATACATTTAGCCAATGCCAATGCTACTCGTGTTGCTTTAGGACGTTTTTTTACCAGATTATTCTTATATATACGTCGCCAGATAAATACAAGTATAATTGCACCAAACTTCAAGCTTGCACATTCAAACAGGGTTTATTGTTTAAACTTTCATGGCCACTAACATTATAGCTTTTAACGGGATTGTTACCATGTACCTTGTGTTTTATGAGTCTCCGATATTTCGGCACTGTTGCAAGCGCCATGATCACAGGGTAACCAAACAGGGTGTTACAAAGCTGATGCTTCTTCTTACATTCAGCCACAGCTAATGTCACTCCTGTGACACGCTTTAGGGTTCTTGTAAATGACCGTTGTTTCGCTGGACATTCAGCCTGTTTAATATGATAGAAAGACAAGTATAGATACCGGTCCAGTGTTCGGAAAAATAACAGCTGTAAACTAGAGGCTTTGAAGATCTCTCCAGAATACTACCACAAAATAGAAAGTAGACAGACGGGTGGGACTTTCCCCGTCATCCTCTAAACTAATGAAGTAAGTTAACCACTATCGAATTTGATCGCACATGTTACTGACTAGCAACATTAAATGTGTGTGACAATACACACTGCTGACAGAATGAGTAGTATTAAAAATTTATCAGACTGTAAATAAAATTAGTAAAAATTTTACGTGCCTGTGCCACCTGATAACTGAAAATCTACCCACAGCACAAGTTAGCCATATTTTCTATATGTTTGGCGAACTTCGTACAGGTCAAAAGTAAGATTTTGTAATAAAATGATATTGCGACTATACATTGAGATGTAAGCTATCCTATCTTTCAAGTTGGATCAAACTGTACACGGTGTGCAAATTTCGATTAAAATCAGTTAAGTAGCTTAGGAGTCTATCCCGGACAAAACAGCGTGACGCGTAATTTAATTTATATTAAGAAGATGATGCCAAGCAGGCTCGTACGATAAGATTGCGCTTGAAAACACGTAGAGTCAGCTAGTAATTTATAGGTATAAGGTGAAATTGAATTTTAAAAAGAAACTTTATGGTATGTATGGTTTCATGTTACGAATGTGTGTATATAATTCTGGATTCGTTCAAATCTTTGAAATAGTAATGTTTTTGATCTTGCCGAAAAGCTGACTCAATACCTTTGGTGCCAAATACTTACTCTAAGAAATTTAAAATGCGCTATATAAAAAATTAAATCAAAAATTTCATGTTGGTAATTTCATTGTAATAAAATAAGGCCTTCCTAATGCATTTATTCTGTCTAAATTAAGATCACATTATAAACTGTATATGAATATAACCCTTGCTCAGCTTTTCCCTATTCATATTTGATTCGTAAAATATAACATACGTAAAATAGAAAAAAACATCCCTTGCTGAGTTTCTTCTCGGTTCTTCTCAGTACAAGGTCTCGCGCCGTAGTTTTGTCAACTTATTGGCGTAGCTTCTTGACATTCACAAGTGCTTGTAACAGCCTAGACTGAATAAACGATTTTTTATTTTGATTTTAAAAAGTTAGAAATGGGTTGCTTAAGCTGCCAGGAGAATAGAGGTTTGTCTCACTGTGGAGACATTCGAATTATCCAAACTTTAAAGATTTTTCTGCGTTTCCTAACCATAGATAATTAAGCTTATTTTTTAACAGTATAATTATTTACATAATTGGTGCTTACCTACTTTAGTAGGTTAATCGCTTGAGTGTGGTAATAACAAAAATATGTTGGAAGAACACAGTATTTAAAAATAACACACACAGTAACACAGTAGTTAACATTTAACTGCTAGGTGTTTAAATCTAAAGAAATTTTTACTAGAAAAAAATCCACACCGACCAGGCAGCAGACGGAAATCTATCTAGAGACATACACACTTTGACGTAGTGATACGAATACTTTCTCACTAGTTATTTGTGCGTGGATTGAAGAACTTGCGCGTTGCCAACTCAGTCCCCTGCCCCGTGGAGCCCTGGGACCTTACTTACCGACAGAACACACTACACCACAAAAAGGTTAAAACTTCCCAAGACCGACATTTCAACATTCGAAATTTGTGGACAATCGTCTAGAATTTTACTACGTATGAATGTATTTTTTTACTCTCAGAATGAAATCAAGTTTTGTATTGATACGGATTTGTTTGTTGTTGTGATTTCTTGCGGTTTTTTGTATTTAATCATGTCTAAAAGGGGTAAAATCTTACAAATACGGTAGAAAAGCACTACAGCGCCCTCCAATCTAAATCACAATCTCTTTCCGCACAGACTCTACACCGTATTTTTGATGGATGATAAAATGAAGAAGCCAACCTAATTTTAATGAATTAAAGCCCTTACCTCTATCTTTCATCTTTCTAAAATCTTTATAATATACAAATGCTAACGTGATATGTTTAATCTGTTTACAGGAGAACGACATCCCGGCAACAGTGCTCTGACGTCACAGCTAAGTCAAAAACTAAATGTGTATGTGGCATTAGCATCACGCACTTGTCACCCCATCACCGCTACCTTACCAATCATCGCTTTATCACTCCAACTTACTAACCGTTCTGCCAAAAAAGCCGCCCTAGCTTGCAATATCGAAAACGCGTTCTCCATTAAAAAAAACAACTCGCCCATTTGAAAATCGAAACGTGCCATATGACCAAAGATGGTTTTCTCTTTTTAAATTTTGAATGTAAATAAAAACTCCTTGTTTTGTTTATGAAAAAAAAACTCGTTTTATTTTTTAATTCTATTTTCTAATAAGTAACATACTTTTTAAGGTCTCAATTTCGCGGAGCTCTAAATGAATATTTTTTTATATAGACGTGAATCGAAACGGAACCAAAAATAATTATTTATTATATTTGCACTTGTTAACGAAATGTATACCTATATTAGAGCAATAATTTTTAATCTAACCTGTGTCTTTAGGTAAATCCACGCTCGGTGTCTATTTTCTATCATTAAATTAAACTAGTGAAATTTAAAGTTTATTATTACATACCTGCATTATTTAAGGTGTTGTTTCATCTATATATAAAAGAATTACCATTCAATGAGTAAAATTGTTTAGAACCCTTGTATAGAGACTATTTATGAATTTTTCAGAACAAAATATAGTCATTATTATTAATTTAGATTTATTTATTATTATTTTAGGCGAATTATTTACAATAGCTAGTTAATTGTTCACCGAAAACATAATAATTAACATGTGTTCGCATTGATATTATAGTTAATACTTTGCATAATATAACTTCTTTGCTAGCTGGTTCATAAATATTTTTTAAAACTTTTAACATATCATGCACAAATTATGAAAAGGTGGCATTCCAATAAGACAGTCGGCATATCATTACATTCTATGTATAAATAGGCTTCTTCTAATAAAAGATTCCTTAGGAAAATGTTGTCAGTGTTCAACTACTATATTTTGTGAGAAATGATAAAAGCGCTTGTACAATATCTAAAGATGCACTGCCTTACGTAACTAAGTAAAATTAAAAATTACTTTAAATTTACGTCATTAAATCAAACGCCTCTTTCGCTTACTTACTGGAGGGACGTCCGCTCTCTTCGACTGATAGTTACGAAATGAGTAAATCGTGGGAATTCTAACCTCTTATGTTTATGGCAGCTATTTTGTAACTCCTACCCACATAATGTGTAATTTACTATTATTATTGTGAGCTTTTTACAATACCTATATATACAACAGTATTGTATTTGTGATAATAAAAAAAAATAATGAACGGTGGATCGGAATCCAATTTGTGAAAAGGAAGTAAGTACCTACCTATTTTGAATCTTACCCTCTTGTTGTTCCATTGAAAAATAAATAAATAAATAACAATTATTTGTACATCTAGTTAAGTAATTCTTAAATCTTAAGCCACCATTTGTATAACCATGTTGTAAAAGCTTATTGCTGTTTTAAGCAATTGTTTTTAAAAATGAATCATGCCTTCATGAATTGGATTGTCGCTCGAAAAGAAGTTGAGAAACATCGAAATATTGACTTTTTTTCCGTAAAACTAAAATCGTATTCGTCACTTTTTTCTTAAATTGATATGTATTATTATAAAAAGAAAAAAAAAGAAGTATTAACGGTCCTACAACTGACTTGTTTTTCTGATGTAGTATTTTCTTCCTCGGAAATTAACGTCGAACAATTTAAGATAAACTATTCGTTGTTTGTTTAACTCACTGATAAATAAGAATAGAGTGTTGGCAAAAAAAATTGTGGCTTTTTTATACACATTCGCTGACGGTAGTTGTGTAATTGTATGGTAGGCGGGATGTATAAAATGCCGCGGCGTGATTTCGAACGAGAAAATTAAGAGTAAAAAACGTTCCAATTCTGAATCGCGACTTTTTTAATTTTTATTCTTTTTTTGTCAAGTAAATTTTTAAACCCGTATTTTAATAATGAGGTTTGATAACACGCCGCGGCTGCGAGCGATCCTCTTCGTCGATCGACTCAGTGTGTAGAGTTTGTCGATCAAGTCACAATAATTACTATGGTATTAAAAGTAAATGATATTAGTTACTTGTTACATAAATATAATGGTATAAATAAACAGTGGGTCGTATTGTTTCACACGTTGTATTGACCGAAATTATGCTGAAAATATAAAAAATACCTGTTCTTTGAAAATATAATATCTTCATATACGGAACAGCATTGTTTGTTTTATTTTTCAACACCCCGTGTAATTTTATAGCCATTAACGGGATTGTTACCATGTACCTTATTTTTTATGAGTCTCCGATACTCCGATATATTGTGTGTCGGGAACAAGTGCGAGTGAATAGTGAGAATGTGACCAGTAGTAGGGGTATCGAGCGCAGTAAAAGTCGACGTCAGAGGGTAGACCGATATGTCTGCCAATAACATCTACCCGCAATTACTTCAGTTACTCCATGATCATGGCGCTTGCAACAGTGCCGAAATATCGGAGACTCATAAAAAACAAGGTACATGGTAATAATCCCGTTAATAGCTATAATGTTAGTAACCATGAAAGTTTAAAACTGTATATCCCCGTGTAATATTAATTAAATAAAAAATATTAATTGATAATAACAAATATGATGCTTATTATATAATAATAATAAATTGTGTGTATGCTTTTTTGTAGACAAATATAGAATCAAAAAAAAAAAGAAATAAATAAATATGTATTACCAACACTCAAACCAATTAGCCTATCCCCAAAGTAAGCACTGTAGGCTTGTGTTATGGGATATTAGGGTAACGGATAGAATACATATATTGCACAAGTTATATTTATATAGAAATACATATTAAACATCCATGACTGGAGTACAAATGCTCGTATTGATTACACAAACATCTGCCGCCACCGGAATTCAAACCCGGGACGTCTCGAGTCGGCGACACCATGAAACCCGGCGTACAAACCACTCGGCCACGGAGGTCGTCATTAGAGGCAAGCCTTTATTTTATTGGCAGTAGTCGATCTTGGAATAACTGTCCCTGTTTTGCGGAAATCTTTAGACAGTAAAATCATTCCGCCCCCGAAAAACCTTAATCTATCTAAAGTCTGTGCGGTAAGAGAATGGGATTTAGATTGGAGGGCGCTGTAGTGCTTTTCTACCGTATTTGTAAGGTTTTACCCCTTTTAGACATGATTAAATACAAAAAACCGCAATAAATCACAACAACAAACAAATCCGTATCTATACAAAACTTTGAGGAACAGATTGCTGGGTTTGATTGCCAAATAAAAATCTTAATGTTAGTTCCGTTTTTCGCCACGCCCATTCTCTTTCCGCACAGACTTTATCTACATTTTTTTTCTATTAATATGGCCGTTATTCTAGACAAGGCAACTGCTACTCTATTACCAAATTTCTCAGAAACAGTGCCCAAATTAAATGATATTAAAATGTGATCACAGTTCTACCGATTCCATCTTAGAATAATAAGCTGCGAAGCAATGAATAAAAATGCCCCACCCACCGCAAAGACGATCATTTATGTCATTGCATCTTGCTCATGTTCATAATGACGCAGAGTACTCCTGTGAATGCGTCGGTGGGAGAATGGTCAATCGACCAACATTTTCAGATTTCAGACAGATTCGAGTCGGCGACACCATGAAACCTGGCGTATAAACCACTCGGCCACGGAGATCGTCAAGCCTACAGATTGTAAATCTACTTATCTTTAATATACCATGCTGGACTAGGAGTGAAGAAAAATATATAATGAGATAGGTGGAAACTTATAAAATAAATAGTAAAGGTCTATCAGATGATTATGACGACACAAATATCTACAAGGTGAGAAGGTGTGGCTGTTTGTATAAAAGTAACTACTTAGATACTGATTCCTCGTACTTATGCAGCTAAGCCCCCCCCCCCCCCCTCCAGAATTACTAAATCAAATTAAGATATAGGCTAACGGGTCAACTAACCGTAGTTGGAAAGAATGTTTTACTTGTAAAAATTTCTTTTTATTTTGTCTAGCAGTTAAATGCTTCAAATTTTAATAAACATACTCGTAGAAAGCTGGAAAGAAAGAAATCTGGAAAGAAAGAAAGCTGGAAGAAAGAAGAAAGTGGAAGCCGACCAGCTCTGAAAAGCGTTTCTTTCTATATACTGCCTTAAGGTGGAAAAACTTTCCCGACTTTTAGACTGTCACACGTTAATTATGCCACGCAATCCATCCATATCCACTTATAGTAAATAAATAAATGCGAAAATGTTGGTCTGTTCTTCGGTCGGTTTGTCTTTCAATCTGTGTGTCTGTCTGTCTTAAACCGCTGAACCGATTTAGATGAAGTTTGGTATAGAGAGAATGAGACCTTCCCCGGGACTCTGTCTTTACATAGGATAGTTTTTGCCCTAGTATTCACCCTTTAAGGGGGTGAAAAGAGGAGTGTGAAGTTTGTATGGGAAACAATTTTTTTCCACCCACTAGGGACTAGACATAATATACTCTGCGAACAACAGATTTACAAGTACAGATAAGTACTTTAAAACATTTTTTTTAAATAATTAAAAGTACTTTTAAAGTTGTTTATGTTAATGCTGCCTACTTTCTTTGTAATACCACTCTACACCACAGAAAGCCAATTAAAGTATTTTATTGTCAAATCCTTGGACGAGAAAATGAAATTGAAGTTAGTCTAAAAATAAGACTTTTAACTTTTCCAAAATTTCAATGCAGCCGTACCGTGAAGAAAATCTAAAACAAATAAGTGCCATCTATCGGTTAGTAGCATGTAAATGAAACAAAGTAATAAGCATACTTTGAGCTATGCTTTTCTAAAGCAAGTAACATTTTTTTACTCGCTCTACTCGACGCTAGATGGCACTGTAAACACAAAATCTCAAATGTCCCTAAGCTTTGTAAACATTATCCTTCCTTGCGAAGATTTTTAAGCTTCCTAATATACAAATTTAGAACGACTATAAAAACAATATTTTATTGATGTATTAAAAACAACATTATATGTAAAAATTATTACACTCTTAGTACTAAATCTGGGAAGAGGAAAGTTATGATAACGGCACATACGTAGAAACTTTTATGACTTTTTAACGATTTTCCATCTCCAACGAGTTTTTTTTAGTTAAGAACATAGTAATATACCAACTTCAAAACTTCAACCGGCAATGGCTCTTAGAAGTTTCGTTATTATTATTATGTACGATAATGAGTAAATATAATGAAAAAAAAACGATAG